TCTTCTTGAGACAGTCCTTTCAAAGTGTCTCAACTTACCATAACTGTAACACTGTTTACCATCGGACTTGTCCCAATCATTGTCGCTCGTACCACTCATCACTTGAGTTACTATTTAAATCATTATTATCTTGAGCTTTATTTACATTCATTTGCTTAAATTTTGTTCTACTTTTCATCAAATATACCTCATCTTTCCTATCGTCTTTTTCAGTATTAATTTCCATCTCTTTACTTTAAAAGAATCATTGACAATCTCATATGTTAAAGTATTCCTACCATATTTAATCGCATTCTTAACCTCCCTATATGAGTCAGAAATATAATTTAGCAAAATAATTGTCTTATATGTTTCAGACACATTTTCATCACAATTAATAATATTTTGAACAAACTTGTTAAAACATTCAAATTGTCATTAAAATCCTTTGAATGATCCATTTTAAAACAAAAAAATATTTCAAGCAAGTACAATTTATTAGGAGTGGATTTAAACAAATGTAAGTCTTCCAACTTTTTTCAAAGTTCTTTTGTAAAATAAAAATTTTCACTTTTTTGAGTTTTCTCAAAACAAATTAGATAGGTGTAAAATAATTAAATCATAATCAAGTTCATCATATTCTTCTTTTTGTATTTCTCTCAAATTTGCAGGAAAATTTTCATCCATAACTTTTGAAACTTTTTGCTGAACCAAAATCCTCTTTATCTTTTGTTGCAAAATTGAATATCCCATTTTTTGTTGAAAATTTAAATTTCGAAATGTGAAAAAGTTTAAAAAAAAAAAAAAAAAATAGAACAACCAAAGTGCATAAATATGTCACAAATGTAATTCTAAGGCTACACTATACACCGTTCTAGATTTCTAAAGTTTCGTGAGATTCGAGATCTCAGTATCAAGGGAAACGAGTAAAGTCCAGGTGCTCTATTAGAATAATCAATGCATGACGAAGGCATGTCTACAAAAAAATCAATTTCTTATACAATATAGTCTCACACAGTCACTTAATGACAATTAAACACAAAAGCATTTATCAATTTGCAATTAAATTCAACATGTAAAATATGACAAATAACTTTCTAGCACAAGCAATGGTTACCCCATATAGTAAATACTGTCCTAATGTTACCCTATACGATGAAATGTTAATGCTGAAATTTAAACGGGATAAGCCAATATACCATAGTGGATCAATCTCAGTTTGTAAATAATGAGATATTCGAATTTGCTACTTTAAGGACACTACTATTCACCCTAAAGTTTTCAGAAAGGGTAATTAGCACAAAAGGTTCCTACTTTTCGATGTTTTTGTAGAAAACGTCCATACCTTTCGTTTTTTGACGGATTACACCCTCACCTTTACCTTTTTTTGCTCAAAACGTCCTTCTATCAACTTCTCGTTAAAATGCTATGTTAAATCAAAAGGTAATTAGCACAAAAGGTCCCTACCTTTCAATATTATTGTGCAAAACGTCAATACCTTTCATTTTTTGGCATAATTAGCACAAAAGGTCCATACCTTTCAATGTTATTGTGCAAAAAGTCCCTACCCTTCATCTTTCATTGCGAAAAAGGTTCTTCTCATCCATTTTTTTCAATAAAATGACAAATTTACCCTCCTATTCAAATAAAAGATGAATTAGCAACTGCAACCATAGTCCTTAAATTTTTAAAAAATTACAAAGAAATCATAAATTCTCAACCACCACCATTTCACAACCTATCAAGTTGTCAACTATAAATCCACATAACATCACCTTTCGGCCACCATGCCCACCGGACTCCACCATCGTAAATGTGGTTGTTTCGGATAGATTTGTGACCAATATTATGAAGGATATTGGGGAGAGTGAGGCGATGCTGGTGGTGGTGGAGTCCGATAGGTGTTGTGACTGAAAGGTGGTGCTATATGGATCTATAGGTGGTGGCTTGGTGGAGTTGTGAAAGTGGCGGTAATAGAGAATTTATGATTTCTTTGTAATGTTTTGAAATATTTAGGACTATGGTTGCAATTAATTAATTATTATTTTTCTTTTCTTTTTATTTTATTTCAATAGGAGGGTAAAATCGTCATTTTATTAAAAAAATGGATAAAAAGGACTTTTTGCGCAATAAAAGGTGAAATGTAGGGGTGAAAATGTTAAAAATGAAAGGTAGGGACGTTTTGTACAATAACATTGAAAGGTATGGGCTTTTTTGCTAATTATACTAAAAAATGAAAGGTATGGACGTTTTGTACAATAACATTGAAAGGTATGGACCTTTTGTACTAATTACCTTTTGGATTTGACAGAACATTTTAACGGAGAGTTGATAGAAGGACGTTTTGCGCAAAAAAATGTAAAGTTGAGGGTATAATCAGCCAAAAAATGAAAGGTAAAGACGTTTTCTACAAAAACATCGAAAGGTAGGGATGTTTTGTGCTAATTACCCTTTCAGAAACCACGATAATTAATTAAGAAAAATTGAATCCTGCACGTGCAAGGGGTAAATCTATCCAAATCCACAATTTTACCTAAAATAGAAATTGAGCATCACCATAGGGTCCACTACGCCTCTAGAAGCAATCTGTCTTCAAATGCCATCATTGAAAATAGCTCCATTTGTACCCACGCGTGTTTGTCAGAGTTTCACGCGTTGTAGACATCACCATGCAATGACCATCCTGGATTTTCTCTACCTAGAAGCAGGGATGTCAATGAGCTGAGTCGAGCCGGCTCAAAAGCTGAAACTCAAGGCTCAAGCTCGGGTAAAATGTGCAAGCTTTATTCTAGGCCCGAGTCGAGTCAAGCAAAAGTTCGGCCAAAAAAATTAGGCTCGACTTGAGCTTTCGGCTCGGACCTTTTTGAGCCGAGCCAGTAGGCTCGCTTTTTATGCTTCTTCTATTTTTTTATTTATATAAATAAGGAAGGAACTGGCTACCTAACTGGCTGCCTATCAGCAGTTGACTGCCTTTTAAGGCAGCAACTATGCTGCCAGATGTGGCTGCCTATTAAGGTAGCATTCCTTTTTTTTTTTTTTTTTTTAAATAAGGCCTATGGACCGGCTCGAGCTTGGCTCGTTCTCCCAAAATGGAGCTTGGCCCGAGTTGGTTCAGGCTTCTCGGCCCAAGCCGACATGCCGAATTGCCATCTCTACCTACAAATCACGCTAGTGGTCTCTGTTCGTTTACCAAGTGAGTGGTCTAACTAAAAATCAAGAAAACAGTTTCAGTCTTTAAATAGTTTTGGATCTCTTTTTTGCTTTGATTCTGTTGATTTTCTAGTTGATTTTTGCTCAGATTTTTTACTCAAATCCACCACATTAAAGCTCTACAAATTGTTGCGGAACGTTGCTGTAAATATCTTCTATACTGTATTTTCTAGGCTTAGTTTCATTTACCTTTCTTTACCAAACAACCAATCTAAACGGCTCTGACCGTACGACTAATATATTTATCTCGGTTGCTTCTCAATCTCACCCACAAAGGACAATATAATGGTGTTGATTTGCAAGCACAAAAGGCATGAAAAAAACAATGGAAGAAGGCACAAGAGAAAGGCCAAAGAAACAAAGGCAGCTACTGATATTTCCTTTGCAAAGAAGCCGATTTTTTTGCAGCAAAGGACAACCACCTTTTTCTCTTTTCACATACAAATCACACACTCAACAACTGCTACGGTAAGCAACATATATATAGGAATAGGTTAGGACTGTGAGTAGTATTAATTTCTTAAGCTATTTTCAATAGTCCAAGTTGTTTTCAGGTCGAGCCTTTAGATTTGATTTTTGGTAATCAATTCATCATTGGTGGAGGCATGTGGGAATGTATTTCAATGTTTTACATCATTACCCGTGATTTATTGGGTATGAAAAATCCAACAGTATCCATAAATCGAAAACTATTAATGATGCAATTTTATTCTATTCTAGTCACCAAAACAGACCATGAAGCATAAAATTCTTGAAATGCCCAAATTAATACCAATTAGAAGTCCTTAAACTTGAGGGGGAAATGTAATTTATATCTCTAATAGACATTTGCGGATGAGTCTGAAAAATTGAGAATCACTTATCTATTATCCGTTATTAGCCGTTATTAGCTAAATTACTATTAAAACCGTGACTTCGTATCCTTGTTTGATTTCCATTTTTTTTCAAAATATATTTTTTCTTTTATTTTCAATCACACATTTTTTAATATTACACGTAAATCCAAAACTTTTTCTTATTTTTTAACTGAACATTCTCTATCAAATCATTATTCCAATTTTTTTTTTTTTTTTTTTTTTTTTGGACATCAAACAGGCTCGTATCAGATTCTCATGTGATTACTTACTGTCTCTTGGCTTTTCCAAGCAAAAACAACATAGGCATTTTGTGTCTTTATTATTTTCTCCCTCTATATATATATATATATATTGAGAGAGAGAGAGAGAGAGAACTTATTAGCTAGTAGGAATTTTCAGTACAATAGCAACTTTAGTAGAAAATTGAATCGTACAATTTTTGTTAATCTAACTTCACACTTTTTTGTTTGATCAAGCACATGAATTTTGATTGCATTTAGTCAGGTGGAAGGTCACGTTAATGTAGTATTTGAAATTTTAGAGACAAATCAGAAATTTAGAGTTGACCGAAGACCGTAGACAGCAACTGATTCCAAAAAGGGAATTGCTATCGAAGCGCTCATCACAATTTGCAAGTATGCAAATTTTTATTGCATGAACTAAATATAGCGTAACAATGTATTACATAAAAACCTGAATGAGCATCGCTCAACACGACAAAGCAAGCATCAAATTAATAAAGTATTAAGTAAAAACTCACAATGACAACAACCAAATGTCATCTCGTCCTATAACAAGCATTGAAATCTTATTTAAGAACCTTTATTGGAAAAAAGAGAAAATAACTTTTTTTTTTTTTAATGAAGAATAGAATGTAAAAGAAATTTCAGTATTGAGAGCTTTTGCATGCAAAACCATGCATTTTTTAGGTCTTCAACCACGTGTCCCTTTGTCTTAGTTTCCCGGAGGAGGATGACCACCACATCCCCTACCCCAACAGCCGCCTTGGTTTCCACCTCCTCCCCAACCCCATCCTCCACCGGTTCCACCACCTCCTCCGCCACCACCTCCACCTCCACTGCCTCCTCCTCCACCTCCACCTCCA